CACTCCCTCTTCATTACGTCATATTTATCGCAAAGTAGTTTTTTAAAATGTGTGGAGGAAGGCACTTTATACACAGGAGCTACTTCTTTCATTAATTCCAAGAATTCCTCGCCTTCAACAATATGAAACGGTCGCATATCTTTACAAATAAAGTACAAAATACATTCTGTTATACTTCTGCATTTAGCGCCACCGTCTGAAAAAGGAATAAATGCACAATGTTAACATATATGTTTAACATCGCACTCTAAAAACATCAAAGCTCCTTTGCCGAAACTCCCTCCCAATATTATTGTCACACTAAACGCAGGCTAAATATCCTTATCGAGGTGATCGAGCCTCGACACGCTAGTCTTTCCAGACCGTCTGATCAGACCAACATGCGACGTTCCCACGACAGTCGGGTCTACGTAACCGGAATCACCCAGATTTATATCTGGCCAAGGACTGTCACTACAGAAATACTCCCCAAAAACCCTTTGGGGAATTTTTATGCTATTACAACAACAACAACCAACATGCGAAAATACACTAGTCTTCTGAAACCACCCTGCAAAAAATGCGACTAATCCGGGATGACTCCGGGAGCAATCGCAAAGGAACGTGCGACTAATACCACATTTGATCTCTTTATATGGAATGAACTGTTCGCTTTTGTTCGAGCATGTCCTATGAAGAGACTAATTGTTCACCTTTATACCCGAACGGGTATAAAAAGCGACTATTCACTTTTAAAAAATAAAAATAAAAATTTGCGCCAGCTGAGATTCGAACCGGGGTGCTCAGGTTTGTTAGGCGAATACTCTCTCTGTGTGCCAACGCCGCACATGAAATATCATTTACTAAGTGCGTACATATAATTAAGTTGTTAATAGTACCCGTTAGAGATGAGTCGGGGACTAATTGATCTCCAATTATACCCGTAAGGGATGAGTCGAGACTAATTGATCTCCAATAGTACCCGTATAAGACTTGTTGCGACTAATTAATGCCCAATTGTATCCGATTGAGAGTAATCTCGGAATACTCTCTTTAGAGATTAGTCGCACAATTTTTTGCAGGGTATGTACATATATGTGTATGTGCGTAGTATTTGGCGGTAATATGCACATACATACATACAGTGGTGGAAGAAACAGTTACGTACCTGTGTACATATACGGTTTTTAATTGTGTTAGTAGGAAATTTGTCTATGTGTGTAATATAACAATGGTAATCATGCTCTTAAGCAAATAGTCGCACATTTGCATATTTCGATAAAATTTTTGATTTATGTCTATTGAAAACATATCCCACACGTTCTTCAAAAGGGACACAACTAAAAAAAATATAAATTAGATAGATTTTTTTGCATGAATCAATTCCAATTAATGCAAATATTTCTTTCTCCATGAATATTTTCTCTAACCAGAAAACAACTGTTATACCCGTATTAATTGCATTGAATCCGTACGATCCACAAACAGTTATATTTTCGGATCTGATTTTTGAGTTGTGTCTCTTTTGAAGATGGTGTGCGTGCGATACGTGCCAGATTGCGAGTACCTTCCGTTTTATTAATAAAAAGGTGTATATCAATTACTACTGTAAATTTCGTACCTTTTTGGGAACACGCTTTTTAAAAAGCAGCTTTTAGAGGATTAAATTGTTTAGTTGGCGTTGACGTCGATGACTGAGTGGTAATTTGACTAGATTGGCTTTTACTGCAAACAGACGATCGAGTAGAACTTGTTGACGATGGCGACGAACTTCCTTCTTCTAAATCGATTACATCCAAATCTGCTTCCTTTTGTTTCCTTCTATAAAATGAATTCGGTTAAAACACCAGCAAACACCACGATGAAGGGAACAAAGATGGCGCATTCCGCAAACCCCTACTTTGGTTTGGCCGATTTTGACAATTCTCAAGTAAAAGAAAACAACGCCTCAGAAAGTTTAAGTGATTCATTAATACTTTAACAAAATTCACATTTTTATTAAACCGGGTTTGCTCTCAAAGAAATTGAATATTACGAAAATTGGCGGTGTGTTCTTTTCTTTTATCCTCCTATTCGGCTTTATTAACTTTAAGTTGTGAAATGCCATCGCCGCCGGGAATGCGCAATCTTGTATTCTATAATTTTTCAGCAAACACAAAGCATTTTTGGTACATATACAGTTGCGGTCAAAATAAAAGAACCAAAATTCAAAATGATATTGTTTGCATCTTAACACATAGTTCGATTAATAGCAGACATAGATGGATTAATTTTTGTGAACTTTGTGCAAGCTTTGAAACTATTGTTTTTGTGTTTTCTGCTATTAATCGAACTATGTTTTAAATAAAATTTATTAATAATAATTAAATAAACATAAGATGCAAACAATATCATTTTGAATTTTGGTTCTATTGTTTTGACCGCAACTGTATATGTATGTATGTATACAGGGTTATCGGAAAAGTCATCCTAGATGCTTAAGAACATTATTGTTTAGATAATATCTGATTAATTTGGTTATATGGAATGAAGTCCAAAACTTAACCGTTTAGAAATTCGATTTTAAATATTATATAAAAAATATTTTTTTTGCCTATAATTAATAAAAATCACCAATAAAACTTCAACCAAGCCTCGCCAGTTAAGATCGGTTGCTTGAACTACCGTTATTATGTAAATATGTACGTATCTAGGAAGACTTTTCTAGTAACTCGGTATAATGTAAAATACCAGAACCAGCATGCAAAGACTTAATTGTTAGCTTTAGTTGAAAAAGGAAATTTATTCCTAAACAGAACCAAATGTTGGGTAACACATTGTAAAACATTTCTTGCATTTAGCATTTTTATCATCTTGTTTATGGAAATATATCCACACTTCAGACTTTCGTGGAGGCATTTTTCTTATATTGTATGTTAACTTTCCTTCCTTCCAATTCAGTTTTTGATATACACCTGCGTTCAACTAATTAGAATCGAAATTCAAAATGATATGGTTTGCAAATTATGTTTATCTATGCATGTAAAGAAAATTAATCAAACTTCAAAAAATTGTCATACAAATTTCCAAATTTTTAATCAGAATATTTAGAAAATTTTCGGGTATGCAGAAAATTATTAAAAATAAAAAAATAAAAATGATTTGCAAAAAATATCATTTTGAATTTCGTTTCTAAATAGTTGAACGCAGGTGTACATAATTCCTTTGTTTCTAATTAAATAATTAAAAAAACCTTTATACATTTTTCATTTTAATATAGTCAGTTCAATAAAAAAAAACACCAAAATCTGAGTACCAAATTTTGTGCAAAAATGAGGATTGAAATATAAAGGTGTTTTTTATAAAACTAACTATATTATCAAGAAAAACGTACAAAAGATTATTTAATTAAAAACAATAAAATTATAACAATCACATCACTGTACCTTTTTTTTCGCGCAACGCTATAAATGGGCATCATAAAATAATTTTTTACAATCACAAGAATCTAATCACCAAAACACAATTTTTCAACTATTTAATGCTACGCTGCTTAAGACTTAAAAGTGCAAGAGGTACGATTTCGTTTTCACTACTGTTCTATTCTGTATGTACAGCCGGCTGAATAAGCCCGCGTTCAGTGTATGTACTTTTAACAATCTAATATTTTTCTTTCGATACATTTTTTTACTTATTGCTTATTAAAAGAAATTGCTCATTCCTTAACTTAGATTATATATCGTCACCTAAAATGCAAAACAACGTAACATCAAAAAATTCGAAATTGAGCTTTTTATTGATTACGATTCCTACATCATATTACATAAAATATATTATAATCTAATTATAATAATCATTATATTGTTTAATATAATTTAATTATATGTAATAATTATTATATTATTTAATATAATTACTTGTAATTATAATATAATCTATTATAAGTAATATGATGTAGTCCATCGTAATGAATAAAAAACTCGAATTTTTTAATGACACGTTGTTTTGCATTTTAGTTGGCGATACATAATTTACAGTTTAAAACGTGCAATTTTAGGAAAAAACCAACAAACATCCAAAATATGTCATACAATTTCCAAATGTGCATAAAGAGTTTCAAGAAGTTTTCCAAGTATACAGCTTTTATTATACATATGTACATACTAAAGTGCAAGTTTTAAGTAGCTGAAAATCTCCGTTAATATTTTTAATTTTTTCGCAGACAATGTTGCGCATTTCTTCCACGGAATCAATGAAAATATACATACAACTTGCACTTTAGTATGTATGCTATAATTGAATGGCACGTAAAGCTGCATACTCGAAAAACTTCCAGGAACTAAGTATTTATACAAATACGGAATTTTTACAACATACACACATATGTACATAGGTATTTTGGGAATTCGTTGATTTTTCCCAGAAATTGCACAACGTTTTGAACTGATATTTTATAAGAAATTTTGAATTTTGTAAACAAAAAATATTGAACGCAACTTATTTTGTTGTGTGTATATGTATACATAAATTTACTAACTTCGCTTGGCTCACCCTTTCTGGCTTCTGCTCAAATTTATTTTATTTGAAATCCGAGTCTATAAGTTCCCTAAAAGTAAATTTGGGTTATTTATTAATTAATATAGAAGTTTCCACTTACCTTGTCCTCAATTTTGCCGGCAAAACTCTGTTTTTTTTTGTAGGACCACACAATGATTTTGTTTTCTTTGTAGCTCTAGACATCAAACGACGCAAACACTTTTCAATTAAATGGCAGCTATTGATTCTACCAAATTTTTCCAGTGCTTCGCTTCTAGAAGGTTCTCGTACGTTAAAGGACGCGTAATTTTTTGTTTGACAAGTTGTTCACAAATTAGAATTAGGCAAGGTTTACATGTTCCAACTGTTTAGCCAATATGATAATGTTGGACGCCAAGCCAGCATTTTTTTGAAATTTCAGAAATGATAGCCAGATAATAATCAAGAGAATAATATTTAAACAAAATGCTGACAGGGAATATAAAAGAAATATGATAGAAATGCAGGACGGCACATTTTTTTCATCGTATTTCATAGAAATTATCATGATAAAAACATTACGAGGTAAAAACCTTCTCTTAATTCGTCGGCTATGATTTATTTTCTAGCGTTTGGAAGCATTTTAAATCACATAAAATTTAAAGTAAACAAATTAAATTGTTCAGAACTGTTGTTGTTTGATATTGAAAATGAAAATGTGTGTGTGAGTTTGAGTTTTGAATTTTAAAAGTATATTGTTTGCAAACGTCAGACTGCCCCTCAATAGTTTTACTTTGTAATATTTTAATCGTGATTAAGTCATAAATTGGATTTATAACGTCGCAAAGTTTTTGCAAATGTCGCATTTGTTGCAAAATTTTCCACCTTACGACACAGCTGTTTACTTTTGTATGGAAACTTTCTTGCGACAAAATTGCGCAATTGCCGTATTATTTGAGCTGGCAATGATTACAAAGTCAAAGTCGCGAAACACATGTATTTTTATTGTCTTCGAATATTTCAATAAAAATTATATAAGTTAAGGCTGCTTCGAAATATAATTTTAAACACTTTTTTTTACACTTACGCACGGCATTTTAAAACAAATTTTACATTTGCAATCTAGAGTTGCGACAGGTCGGTCATACAACTTCGTTCGCAGTGTTGCCATTGCGCCAATAATGCCACTTCGCGACATTTTAAAAATCGCACTATAATAAAGATAGAAACGTTTAAATGCATTCTGTTTAAAAAAATAATTGTTTTCAAATTTCACTTATGATTTTAAAAAGCTGGTTTTGGTTTTATCAATCGCCCATAGTATTTGTAAAAAATTGGTTCCAGCTCCTTAATTGTGGCATAAGTCTATAATAATAACCGTTTAGCTATAGACAAAAAGTGGCTTGTATCGAGCCTGCTGTTCAATAAAGAAGATATAAGAGGTTTAAGTAAAATTTCGATATTTTATAATATCACCCAAAAGTTACTTATGATGAAGAATTTTAGCAATATAATAATAATGAAGTAAATTAAGGTAGCCATATGATATGTCAAAAGAAAGAAAACTGCGCAGTAGAGAAATGTTTTTGCACCCCCATTATAACGCAAAATTTAAGGAAAATACATAGTGGTAAAAATCGAAATTGTGTGTATATATATATTTTCTACTGACCGGATTCGAAGATAGCGTTTAAATTTTTTGTGCTTGGGATACGTTTAATATTTTAGTGTTTTCTAAGAATTGTTTTTATATTTTGAAACAACTTTTTTTCTTTGTATATTTTCTTCAATATCAGAGCTATTTGCCCCTACCATTAGTATTGCCCGCTAATGTTTACAGCGCGAAGAATAATAGAGTTACTCAGTGACTTTAAATCGCGTTAAAACGTCTGTACTGAATATTCATCCACTTCAACCTTCCACTCGAACAACTGGCCGTGTAAACGTTGCAAACCCTCAACTTTGGTGAAGCAATT